ACCCTTAAAGATGTAATGAGCAAAAAGGGTGTTGAGAATACTATTTTTGGTGGAAAAGTTGTTGTATTTGGAGGAGATTTTAGACAGATTCTTCCTGTTGTTCCAAGAGTTGGGCGTTCTGATATTGTTCATGCATCAATTAGTTCATCTTATGTATGGGATTATTGCCAGTTTTAACACTATCAAAAAATATGAGACTTCAAGAGGGAAGAGACAACACAAGTTCTAATGAACTAGCGGAATTTTCAAAATGGATTTTAAATGTGGGTGATGGTAAGATTTGTGAACCCAATGATGGTTTGGTTGATATTGAAATTCCTCAAGAGCTATTAACATCAAATTTTGATGATCCTATAAGAGCAATTGTTGAAAACACATATCCCAATTTGTTGGAAAAATATCAAGATGTTGAATTCTTACAAGGAAAGGCTATTCTTGCTTCAACCATTGAAGTTGTGGACAAAATCAATCATTATGTATTAGACTTGATACCAGGTACATGTGTTTTATATTTACTGTATTATTACATTCATAATATATATATATATATATATATATATATATATATATATATATATATATATATATATATATATATATATATATATATATATATATATATATATATATTTTAAGAACATAGTTTTACTAATTTATTTATGTTTTGCTTTTAAACTTTTTTTTAGGAGAAGAGAAAGAGTATTTGAGTTTTGATTCCATTGATAGAACAGATTCAAGTTATACTGAAGCATATGAAGTTCTAACTCCTGAATTTCTCAGTAAATTAAGAACGCCAGGGCTTCCCAATCATACGATCAAATTGAAGGTTGGTACACCTATTATGCTAATGAGAAATTTGGACCAAGCCGATGGGTTGTGCAACGGAACAAGATTAATTGTTACAAGATTTTCAAATCATGTCATTGAGGCAAAAATCATGTCTGGAAAGAACATAGGTAACAGTTTTTACATTCCACGAATGTCTATGTCACCTTCTGATTCACCTTGGCCATTCAAGTTGATTAGGAGACAATTTCCGATTATTGTCTCCTATGCAATGACAATTAATAAGTCACAAGGTCAATCTCTTGATAGTGTTGGATTGTATTTGCCTACTCCTGTGTTTAGTCATGGTCAATTATATGTTGCAATTTCAAGAGTTAAGAGCAAAAGTGGGCTAAAAATCCTAATTCATGACAAGGAGAATGTACCGTGTTCTACTACTACTAATGTTGTGTACAAGGAAGTCTTTCAAGCACTTTGATAGTTGGTAAACTTTATATCTTATACTTTACGATTCAAATTAAAAATCTATTTTGAATTAAAATATATAGTATGTACATTTTCCATGTATTTCAAGAAGTATATAATTTTTCCTATTTGTTCATGCAGACGTGATTTGTTGATAGGACCGACGCTTGCTACAAATATGGAGTTAAATGCCAACATGGTTTACATGAGACATATACTCAACTGAAAACATGGTAACATACTTAATAATTTAATAATCTATAAATGTAATGTGAATCCAGACGAGACCCGTGCGTTAGCACGGGTTTGTTACTAGTTTCTATGAAAAAATATGCATGGCACTTTTTTTCTTCATTTAGAGCTAAGAGGAATCAAAGAAATGAAATTTTCTAAAATAAAAAACATAAAATATTTGCTCACACTCTTAACTTGCGCATTGTTTTCAATGAATATCATAAAAATTAACTCACACATTATTTTTGATGAATATCATAGATAAATTTATAAGGTTATCTTTTTTTAAATAAAATTGTTCATTTATAAGTATTAACAACTTATTTACATTGAAATATTATGAGAAAATACAAAGAAATTATTTGTAAGGGATTGCTATCAACTTAAAGATAGAACGTTTTAATTAAAAAAGTCATTTGAAGAAGTGTGTTAGGAGTGATACCGCCTAAACGCTAAAAGGATCTAGCTCTCAAGGGCGAGACATGTCTGGGAGTTCTAGGTCCAAAAAGGGCATGGAATCAAGTAAAGGGTGATGACATATATGTGTGCCACTCCCTTAATATCATAGCATGAGGATTTGTCGGGGGAAGAGAGACCAGTTCTTCTCGTATAAGATACGCTTGCTAGATCATAACCAACGAGGATCCGCCCAAGAATCTTGATCTTGCGACATGGTAGCACTAAAATTTAAGATCATCTTTTCTAAGAGAGACGTTGTAGAAATCCACCCACACGATAACAACCCCATAGTCATAACTATATGATGGAACACTTTTGAAAGACTCTGCATAGACCTGAATGACCTCAAAACCTTCCAAGGCTGATTAGGGGTATTCTCAGATGAACAAATATAGGTAAAAGGTTATATTACCTTGAAGACCACCTTTAGAGCTAAGGATAACACCGGGATGGTCAAGGTAAAATATCCGGTTATAGACGTATCTTCCTCATATAACATGATTATATGGCAATCTTCTTTAAACTAGCTCGGGGCCATCCTATCTACACTTTATCTATGCATGAAATACTCACTCCAAAATGAGCGAGTGAGGGTTATATAGGGGAATAAATAGATCGCCAAGAAGTGTTACATGGATAGGCAAAATTTGAAAAAGACAAAGGCCATGACTCACGTCCAATAAGCATACACCTAAGAAGTTAATGTTGTAGACAGAAAATTGGGGATCGTGCCACAAGAGATAATGTCGATGATGAAGATCTGTCTGCCTACACCAAGAGAGCACGAAGGGGGAAGAAGAAAATACTTGTTAGAATAGTTAATTATTTTAAGCATTAAGTGTTATTTAGATTAGTTTAACTTATTTGTTTGGTTTATTTAAGGAGAGATGCAATCTCTTCTGTTTGTATGGTTAATTAATGACATTTTCTATTTTGTAGGGAGCACTCTTTTTCCATGTGTTGGTTATAGTCACAAGGGTTTTTAATGAGGCCACTCATGTTATCAAATACTTTGGAACATTATTGCTTTGTTCTTAGGAACTAAAGAATGAAAAGAAACCTTATTGAAATCGCCCATAAATGCAATCATATACGTTGGATACTCATGAAAGAATCTTTAAATCCCTTTAAGGCGATTAAACATGTTGGATCATCATGGAGAAATCATTGTTATCTTTGAGGTGATCTCACATGTTGGATCCTCACAGAGGAGTCCTTAAAAGACTACAACAATGTCAAAAAATATTCAAAAGGTAATTTGCATAAAAAATAAATAAATATGTGAAAACCCACCCTTTGATTAATCCCCGAGGGCCAAAAAAGTATAATAGGGTGCTAAAAATAATTACAGAAAAACCCTTTGAGAACAATTATAAAAATCCGCCAAGGGCGTAAGTAACTAAGCCATAGGCTCACTAACCCTCTACTGGAGCTTGCCGCTATGCAAAAATATCCTCTTGAAGATCAGTATTCCTTTGGGAATTTCTTCCATCACATTGTTGCCCTTGTGTTCAACCCAAACACCCACACTAGGAGACGTCTCAGATTCTCCAAAGGACAAAACCTCCTTGTCATCCTCTAACTGACCATCACGAACCACCATGAATAAATTCATTCGCCTGCTCAAAAATTTTGGTTGGAGGTATCCACTAATTCACCCTTGAGTGCGAACCTCCCTATTCAATTTCTTTATATTTAGCAGCCTTTCAAGTGACCCCTTCAAGCTTTTTTCTAAGCTAGCTAGAACTCGCGCTTCTAGCTCCACCTTTTTGAGTAGGAACTTCAAATCTTCTTTCTCTTTTAGCAATGTCCTCATTCTCTATTGACTCAAGACAATGTTTCCCTTGACCATATAAAGTTAGCATCTCAACTTACTAACGACTTGAATATTTTTTTTTTTGTTGAACCCGCTCAATCAAAAGACTCTTTAACATATGATTTTCTGTCAAGTTCGAAAAATTGAGAAATAACATATTATAGATGATAGGTAGTCGATAGAGAAATCCTGAAAAAAAAGAGAGGTAGATTCAGTAAACTTTATATTAGTTTGATATTACTCTGTAAAAGATATCTTTTTTAATTTAAAAATTAACTACTCTAAATTTTATTTGATGTTTAGTTAAAAATTAAGTTGAAATAGTAAAAATAAAAATATTAAATAAAATTAATAAATAATAATAATAAATAATTAAATAATAAACTAACACAATATATTATGTTAATAAAAATAAATAAGTATAAAAATACTATACATTGTATCATTATATCACAACTACTTAACTTTATTTTTTGTAAAAACAATTAAAATAAAAATTAAATATTTTAAACAAGTTAAAAATTGTAATTAATTGACGGTATAAAATCTTTTTATAATATTAGTTTATTTCAATTAAATTTAAAATATATTTACATTTAATTTGTATTAATTTAAAAATTTGATTTGAATCGATTAGTTTTTTCAAAATAACATTCAAACATATTTAATAATATTTAATTTATTTTATACTTTTTTATTTTTTTTAAATCAATTTAATATTTTATTTGAATTTATTTGAATTTGAAACCCCTATAACATACAGTTCTCAATAAATGTTCTAAAAACTTCCTTAATGGTTTGTTTTCTACAAAAATTTAAAAAATTTATAAATTTAAGAGTAATAGTAATGTTGCAGTGTGAGGTTGAGTCGGCAATAGCAGAACTCTCGGGAACAAATGTTTCTCACGAAGATAAATGACATGTGTTGCTATAAAACAAAATCATCTGAAACTAAAATGTAACACGTGCATAGCATAGTCATCTAAGTGAAACAAGTGTTCTACATGCTACATTACACGTTACAACGTTAGGCAATGCTTTTCAACTTATTTTCTGCAGCAAATTTAGGATCATCACAAACACTCCTACTCCAACGCCTTGTTTTTTTAACCAACAAATCTCTTCTCTTCAACCATTTCATTTTCACTTGTAAGCACTTTTCTCTCTTTTATTTCACGTTCTTTTCTCTTTCTCCTCAAATTATTCAATTAATCAATCAACCTTTGATATCAGTGAAAATATGTCTGGTGTATCTCTAGCAACGGCTCCTCGAGAACAAACAGCACCACCAGCACCAGGTGCAACCACAAATGCAAATCCGAAACAGAAAACTCAAGTACCTTCTGCAGGTGGAATGATGGGTTCATTACGTGTAATAGAGCTTCAACTTGTTGCATTTGTTTTAGTTTTATCAGCAAGTGGTCTCGTTCCACTTCTTGATCTAGTTTTTCCAGTTCTTACTTCTGTATACATCTTAGCACTTGCACGTTTCGCATTTCCATCAAATTCTGCCTCTAAAGATTCACATTCACAAGAGATTTTCAAAGGAAGTACTATGTTTAGAATGTATGTTATTGTTGGAACAACCATTGGGTTGTTTCTACCACTTGCTTATGTTCTTGGTGGATTTGCAAGAGGTGATGAACATGCAGTGCGTTCTGCAACACCACATCTTTTCTTGCTTTCTTTTCAAATATTGACTGAGAATGTTATCAGTGGTTTGTCTTTGTTTTCACCTCCTGTCAGAGCTTTGGTTCCTATGATTTATACTATAAGAAGAATCTTTGTTGATATTGATTGGATCAGTGATGTTTGGCTCAACAAGACTTTGCCTGCAAATGCTCGCATTCAGGTCATTTCTTCACTACTCTTTGTTACTAGTTCTATTTTGGTATATTGTTTGTGAGTTTATTGTTGGATATTGCAGGACGCAGCATGGCATTGGTTTGGGAAGGGACTGGCAGTGGCAAATCTGGTTTATTTCTCAATCAATCTATGTGGTTTCTTGGTACCAAGGTTCCTTCCAAGAGCTTTTGAGAGGTATTTCCAAGAGAAGGGTGAGATTTATGCTAAGACAGCAGAGGATAAGAGATCTGTGTCTTTCAACAAACCACAATTGTCTGAGAAGAAGATAGATTAGCTTGTCTTGCAAGGAATATCATAATGTTAATCAGTGTATATGATATATAAGCATTGAATTAAAATGTTGTACTTCATTACATAATATATGGAAATTATATGTAGCTTTGGGTATGAGTTTTAAGTTTGGTTTTTTAACCTCTCTTTGTTACTTTGGGTTTGAGTTTTAAGTTTGGTTTTTTAACCTCTCTTTGTTACTTTGGGTTTGAGTTTTAAGTTTGGTTTTTTAACCTCTCTTTGTTACAGCCATTGTAATGACATTGTGTTTGTTCTGTGTTTGTGCTCTTGCATTTGGTCGTTTAACACATTGGTCATCTACTTATGTTTGGGTCTGGGCCAACCCATTCAATATTGCATCCATACTCTAAAAAGGACTCAAGAATTTTGGCTCTATACAATGGTCATGCTCTAAATTGAAATCAGTAGGACTCATAGATCAGATGAACAGTGAATTGGAGAGTTACAGGTGTAGATAATTTGTTGAAGACCGTTAATTTGATTACTACAGTTTTTGCCCTTACATATCAAAGTGTTAAACCTTGTTATTTTCACTATGAGTGATGCTCACCGTGGAGAAAATGAGTATTATTTAAAAGTGAGCACTATAGTTAAATGGGAGAAGACCGTGATTTTGAGTTGTGGAAAATGAATTGCAAGCAATTTTAATTTAACAAAACTGTATTGAAGTTTTGAAGAAAAGAGGTATTATGCATGTAAGACTTGCATTAACAGAAAAGATTGAGAGGGTGGATAAAGTCAGGAGTTTCATTATCTTGTGCTTCAGAGATAAAGTTTTAAAGGAAGTAGTCAGAGAATAGATTGCTCTTTCGATTACAAAACTCGAACCATTGTATATAATTAAGTTTTTAGTTTACAAGTTGTGTCTGATACATATAATTCTATTCATTCTAAATGGTAGAGACTCGAACCATTGTATATAATTAAGTTTTTAGTTTACAAGTTGTGTGTGATACATATAATTCTATTCATTTTAAATGGTAGAGAACAAATATATAGTGGAGCAGCTGACAGAATTTCACAAATTTATTAATGATCTTGAGAAGCTGTCAGAATTTCACAAATTTATTAATGATCTTGAGAATATTTAAGTGAAGATTGATAATGAGGACAGGATTCTATTTTTGTTGAGTTCATTACTCAAATCATTTGAGCATTTTAAGGATGTATATAAAGAAGATACTATTACATTAAATGAAATTCAGATGGTGGTAAAATCCAAATTCAAAGACGAAAGATTTGAAGATTGAAGATCAAGAGGAGGAGTTGGGTATAGAGGGATGTTCAAATCAAAGAGGTTTGACAAATCAAAAATAAAATATTTTAATTATCAGAAAATCTGTCATTTTAAAAAAGATTGTCTTGAGAGAAAGGTCAATGATGATTCTGTTCAAGTTATAATTGTCTTAGATGAAAATGGTAATGAGAATGTTGCGGCATTAGTGGTATCGAGTTTGAAAATTAAAGATAATTAAATCATAGATTTAGATTGCTTTTATCACATGTGTTAAAGAATATAATACTCTGATACTTTGAAGCTGGAGTAAGATGAAGTAGTTTGCCTTAGTGATAATAAGACTTACAAAGTTCATGATATTGATACAGTCAGATTTAAAATATTTGATGATCGTGAATTTATTTTTTACAACATGAGGTATGTTCTAGAACTCAAGCAAAATTTATTATCTATAAGTATGTTTGATGATCTAGTATTCTAAAGATCTTCAATTGTATACTTGAATTCTTTGAATTCTAATGTTTGTTGTGTCCTTCTTATATAGAAATGATCTTTTTGGTTTTTCTCTCTATGAATTTGCGATTTAATTTGGTCCAGAAATATTGTAAGTTTAGTTGGAGATTTGATTTGTTCCTTGATTATCTCTGACAAAAAGATATGAATTTATTTGTTACAAATGCAAATCTCTTTAAATCTGATTTGATCTTTATAGTTGTCTAACAAGTCATATATTCATATTGTTATTTTAATAACAATAAAATCTGATTCATATTAGCGATTTTTTTTTTAAAATGCAACAACAGAGGCTTGATGCACCAGGCCCAGATGTCGAGCAACATGTTGGAATATTGTGTCCAGTATGTGTTTCTTCTGCACCTTCATACAACTTTAGAAAGCTAGATCAATCTTAAATACTTTGAACACTTCTTCCATGTTGTTGTTTTGCAAAATATAGTAAATTTAAATGATCATTTCACAAAGAATTTCAATCTTCTCCTTTAACAAATTGTGGCAAAACAATTTTTTAAAATATAGCACTTTGTTCAAATCTTCAAGCAATAACACTTTGTTTAGAACAGAACAAGTGACAACCATTGTCCTTCATCTACCAATAGAAATACTGGTCCTCATCAGAGTATTTAATCAACAACTTCAACATTCTTCAATATATCAGAGTTTAAGCACAACAATAACATCATAAGTCAGTAGTATCAAGATTAGATGCTTACATATAATATATTCAGTTGTTCCAAATCAAACACAGTCCAACATACAATGATTCACAAACTTAGTCATGCATGTATCCAATTAGCACATAGTTAGTAGCATACAATATGAATAACTAACAATTATTAGCATATAATCATTCATAAACTTAGTCATACACCACACAAACAATTAGTAGTTAATAATTAGGATATATATACTAACACAAGTAAACTAATTTACTGATCTGTTTGCACAGATACAAGGGCTAGATGTCATTTCTGATGCTTCAACATGAAGCACAACATCATTAGTACTTCATGAACAGTCAGTACTAAACAATCATCAAATTTACCTGTACACATTAGATATACCACTTCTCTTCAAATTTCTCACCTTTTTGTCATAATTTGGCAAAGAGTTAATAGTTCAAAGAAGTTATCTTACATAGAGGATATCATGCACAAAGTAAGTCTTGAAAGGTTAGTATGTTAGTACATACATAACCAAAATATGAGAAAAATCATCAGAATCAACATCAAAAGACGTACACAGTTATTACAAAATCTAATCTCAATAAGATCCTACAAATCAAGAATAAATGAGTCCAAACAAGACAAGAAAACTTGAAACAACATCATCCAAACTAATTTATCTATCCATCCTATGCAAGGCTTATATTTGACCTAATTTTCATCACCTTCTGAGTTTCAATTGGTTTTTTCTTGAGCTTGAGCAGTTGTTGGAGTGGTAAAACAACAAGTAAAAAGTAAGTATTAATTAGCGGGTGATATTTAGGTTATATCGTATTGTCTCAACAGAGATTAGTGTTATTGAATTTTCATTTGACAATTTCTCGTGTTTATGAGCTTGGGTTTGAATGTGTTGTTTGTAAAGGAAGGTAAAAGGTATCAACAGAAAATAAATTAATTCTTCAAAGGGGAAATTTATCAGGCATGCATATAATTCACTCCTCACAAACTTAAACCTATCGATAAGTTATATTCAATCTACAATACTCATTAATGTTATCATCTTTCAAACACAACACCCATTATATCTCCTCGGTGGAGATCTCTCAACCAACCTCAATAATACAGAAGTCAACCGTGCTACTCGCATCGACGATCTCGCAGAACGATACAACCAACACAAAGGCATTAATCATAGATACCCGAGTGAATAATAACTCTAAATATATCTCTAAAATCTAGAAACTATTAGATAATCATCCTAAATAAGAATTTGAGCAGTATATGTCTATAACAATCCAAACCCCCAAACACAAAGCAAAAATCCAGGACAATAATCGATAAAGATTTGTAAAGCAAGTTTTATACAATGTCATGGGCGACAAATATACATGAGTTCAAAGTAAATACATATACAAACTCAACAAATAAATAATACTAAAAGAAGAAAAAAAATGAACCACAAATTTACCAATTTGTCAATGCTGATTGAAGAGCAATCCACTCCAGATCATCCGTATGCAAGCTTCATAGTTTTTTTCTAAGCTAACCCCTAATAAAAAAATGAGGGTTGTTAAATTTTGAGAGTTAAAACTATCCCCAAAACCATAATCCTAACAAATGAAATTAAATTGAAATATAAATAAAATTGTGTTCCGCACGCATCGCCCGACGTTGGAATTGCGTCACTCGATGATGCATCTTTATTAATTGGCTTAGCCTACGCCATGCAGGAAATTAGGGAAAGTATCTTTCATCGTTCGGAGACAAAAAGCTTCGTCCGGCGACACCTTTATTCCTAGTCCGGTAACATAGTAGAGAAGAAAGATAGAGGAAACTGGAAAATGATCAACTATTCTCGCTCTTCCATCGCCCGGCAATGCAGAAGCATAAACTCACCGGCATAGCTTCGCCCGACAGTGTACACCAAAACAATAAATTTTGTTGCTCATTCTGCATAGCTTGCAATGACTTTTCCTCTTTTGCCTTATTCCTTTATTGATCAAAATTGCATCTTGGAGCTTTTATTCCTCTTGCTCCAATAATGTTCAAATACCTAGAAAACGAATACAAAACTATCAAACGATACACTATGTACACGAAAACATAAATATATACAAACTAAACAAATTTACCAACAAAGCGATGAATTATTTACAAAATATTAACAAAAAAATTGATAAGTGCAACAAAAAGTATATACAAAAATAACTATAATTTGCAATTATCAAACTGTCCCCAACTTGAACTTATTTATCCTCAAACAAGGCCAAACAAAATCAAAGAAGCAAAAGTAATCAACCAAAGAATTATGAATCGACAAGTTTGAAAAATGAAACAAATGTATGGTTCAAACAAAAATGCACAAGTAAGGTAAATACTTACTGTTGTACCCCAAAATTTGCCCTCCCATTTCCTCAACATTTTCTCATCACCAGACCTTTGAAGATCAAGACCCAAATTAGGGTTTGTGTTTGAACAAAGATGTTTTGACCTAAAATGCCTAATATGACTTTCATACTTCATGTTGGACTCCCAAGTTTACCCATACCAAGTTTCAAGTCTTGA